GTGTGTTTGTGTGGCTTGGACTCAGTCTCCAATCCCTTCAGGTCAACTTTGCATACCACCCAAGCAGGGTTAGTTTTGTACTTGCACTGCCCCCAAGGCAGGGGTGACATGGAAATGACCACCACAACAAGCCTGGTCGCTTATGGTGACTTTTAGATCTATGGAAGAGCCAGATGACCTGGAAGAGAACAGGGTTTTCTCAATCCCAACACCTTGGCTTTAAATACTAAAACGTCCACAAGAACTTGAAATTTAATAGAAAAGGAGGACTACCCCAGAAGCATAAGGGCTCAAGGAGGAGGTAGAAAAAGGAAGGTCTGCAGGAATGTCACAGAAATTTGGAGGCTGGGGATTTTTTTAAGACTTGGCCTTAACAGTGGGGGATGGATTCACCAGAAGATGGTAGAAATCCCACTAAGTTGAGGATTCTAGAACAAAAGAGGCCTTGTGTGATGTCCAGGGTGTAGCTGGGAGCCTATAATCCTTTTGAGAAAGAGGATAGCAAAGGAGGTGGTAGGGGTGGGCGTGCAGATGGGAACCCTGGGACCAGCCCCCCAGGGGCTACAAGACCCTGGCACACTGCGCACATGTTTGGGTGGGTGGGCAGAGCAGGGTAGGCCGGGGGGGGGACAAGAAGAATGCTCTAGAGCCTTCAGCAGAGCTATGGACATCGATAGCCAGACAGAGGTTGATACCCCAGGTCAGGGAGGGAAGGGCCAGCAGAGGCCAGTGAAAACAGGGGTGCCCGGGAGGAGAAGCAACCCAGTCAGAGAAGGGGGGCAGCCTGGAGAGAGGGAAGGAGAGCTACAGGAAGCATACTGAAACTACCGGGGTTTTGTCACCAGAAAAGGCTGAGTTTTGAACCCCAGATGACTGAAGTGCCTTGAATTAGGAGCCCTCAGTTTTCCATTATCCAGGGACAGAAGACCTTTCAGTCTCTCTTCACATCCTCAACGTGACTGGGTAAAAAGTCCATGTGGTCACCTGTGGAAAGCTGAAAGGCCTAACCTACTCGTCAAACCCTTGCTGTCCACTGCTGGCCTGCCCAGAACCCTGTCCCCTCTCTCCAGAGAAAACGAAGTCACTCAGATGGGGAGGGTGGATTCTCGCATTGTGACCACCGAGGGTGGGGCGCAGAGGTTCACTGAGGTCTAGAGGGCTGGGCTCTGGGGTCTCAGAGCACAGAGACCATGTGACATGGCCCTTCCACTCACAGATGGGAAATGGATGTCAAGAGAGGAGAGGAGTTGGCCCGCAACGACAAAACCCCATCTAGAGCTCTTCTCCCAAATGCCGTTTCAGGGGACAATGCCCCATTTCCAGAAGGTAGCAACTGGGGTTCCAGGCCCCAGATAGAGCCACAGCCCATACCCCATTCGATAAATGCCCAGGTTCTCCTGGGGCTGCATGCACCCTTCCACCCGGCGACCACACGAGCCCTCAGTGGTGAGGTTGTGGACAGGGGACTCGGCTGCCAGTTTCTCCCGCTCTAAAAGGGGACAGTGTACCGCATTCTGGTGGACATCACCACAAGGCACCACATATGGCCCCTGCACTTCAGAGACCACTGAGGGAATGACCAGCAGAGCCCCTACCCCTGTGAGAGCCCCTCCCGTACTCACCTTTCTCTTTCAAGAATCCCCAGCCAGCCACCCAGCGGGCCTGGGGAACTCTGGGTGGGCCCGCCCTAAATTGGGGCAGGCAGCCCGTACTGGTGAATTGCCCACAGGGAACGGGAGGGGTGATCTTCATGAGAGCGATGTCATTGTGCTCTAAACTGGGGATGTATTTCTCATGAATGATGATTTTCTCGACATATCTCTCCTGTTGAGGTGGCTTCGCTGGCTTATCGTTCCCATACACAATTTCCCTTGCTCCAAAAATCAGTCTCCAGTCATATACTTTTCTGTGGGCACAGAGGCAAGCCAGGTCATCCTCAGAAAGGACAGGCTCGACAGAAGCCTCTGGTGACCATGATCCTCAGAGCCCTCCCCCAGCAAGGGCCTGGGCCCACCCACTCACGGTCTGGTTGCCACAAGGCCCAGAGCCCCGGGGAGACTGCGCACAGAGAGCCCTGGAGAATGTCCCTTTCTGGGAAGAGCCTTTCTGAAGACCTCCCTCCACGTGCTCCCACACGTACTTTTTGGAGAGGAAGCAGTGGGCAGCAGTAAGCAGCCAATGGGAGTTCAGCAAGGTGCCTCCGCACGCATGGTACCTTCGGTTATTGTGGGACGTGAAGACCTGGAGGCTGGCCATCCAGGGCCAGGCCCCGATGGTTGCATCCTGCCCTCTGACGATACGGCCACTTCCCGGTGGGTTCTGCCTGAACCGTAACCCACAGGGGGCACTGAGGAGAGACCAGGGGCACAGTTCAAACCAAGAAGAGGCACAGCCTGTCCTCGCACCTGCACGATGGGGGAAGCAGGGCTAGGGAGCTGGGCAAAGTGGGGCAGCCGGGAGTGTGGAGGGTCCGAGGGGGAGCTGCTGAGGAGAGGCGCTATCAGGGCGGTAGGGAAGCCGGAAGCTGCAGGCTCCAGGAAATGGTTTTGAGGAGGATGAGTTCTGGGGTATTGTGGGTGGAGCCACAAGGCGAGGAAAGAAGGCGCCATAGGAAGCAGGACCGATGATAAGGGCCCTAGAAATATGGGAGATCCCGAGGCAGAGGGGGAGGCTAGAGGTGGAGAGAGAGAGGTGTAATGGCTTGAGGTCTTTAGAGCCAATTCTGGGCGGGAGACTCAGGAAACAGCCACAGGGGTCTTGGGGCTGCAGTGTGGGGTTGGATGGTGGCAGGAGGAGGGAGAGTCGCCAAGGCAGGTCCAGTGATCCCAGGTGTGGGGAGCAGCGGGGGTCCAGGGGTGGAATTCTGGGAACTGGGGAGAGGCCACAACAGTTTGGGGGTACCTTGGGGGCTGTCAGAGTCTAAGGTGGAGGGGGGACCCTAGAAGAATGCCATGACAATACCCTGGGGTCTTTGGGGTCAGCCACAGGTGGGGGCACCTTAGTATCTGTGGGAAGAAAGGGGTTTCTAAAAATTGGGACTTGATGTTCAAGAGGCAGTGAGGTCAGTCTCTAGGTGAGGAAAGGACCCCAGCATCTGTGCTACGGGAGGCATAGGAGCCCAGGGGTCAGCCCTGGGGTCTCTCGGCTGATGAAGCTGGAAGCAAGGATGGTCTGAGTTGGGGATGTGGGTCACACCCGTAAGACCCAGGGGACTACTAAGGCCCAAGCTTGGCCTCCTCCCTAGCCCTGGACAGAAGGAGTCTGGGTGGGGCTTGCTATTCAGAAGACACTCTTTCCACCCCCCGGAGGTGTCCCTGACACTTACTCACACGTGGCGTTATCTTTGGCAACCACAGACACTGCCACGGCCAGCAGAACGGCAGTTGGCAGCATCCCTACCATACTCCTGCCCCAGCCTGGCCTGGAAGCCCAGTGACCTCACTGGGCCTCCTGACCAGTCAGCATGGCTACCTCCCCCCTCCCCCACCCCAATAGTCAGGCCAGTCAGGAGCCCTTTAGCTTAACCAGTTCAGGCTGAAAAAAGATCCCAGCTTTCTGTACAGGCTCCTCTGCACCCCTCGAGTGATGGGGGCTCATGTGCAGCCCCCTCCCTCTGTCCCAAGGCCAGGATCTTCATTCCCAGTTACCATTCAAAGGTTCCGTATCATCTGAGGATCCAGTTTTGTGCAGTGTCAGGGTCTGCCCCTCATGCAACATGCAACCACAGTTCCTGATCCAAATCATGGGCTGAGGGGCAGCTCTGTCCCTCTGTGTCAAGATGATGCAGCATGTCAATGGTCACAGGGTGTCGGGTTCACCTGGTTAATCGGTCCTTAACACTGTGTAGGGCAAATTGTCTTTCCCACTTCTAAGTATGTACTATCAGCACACTTTTCAAGAGCCACTTTGAATTTCTCTGACTTAGGACTACAAAGCCCACCTTTCTATTCACTGCTGAGTATCACAAGGTCTGGTGTTTCCTACCTGAGTGTCTGCAGGTCTCCTCTCTGGGACCTATGTGCAGGAAGATGTGTCTCTTATACTTAAGGGTCAGGAAATCTCACCACAATCACCTGAATATCCTGAGGTTTCATTTTTTCTGATTGTCAGGAGACAGCATCTCACTGACGGGAGGATGACAAATGCTCACCTCACATACCTGCATGTTAAGAAGTTTCATCTTCCTGTAGTAGTGTGACGAGGTCATACAGGACAGAGTGACAGGTCTGAGCTAGCAGGAGCCACACTCTAGTCTCCCTCCCGGAGCCTGCTCGGGAGCAGGAGTCTGTGTGCCCTAGGGGCCAGCACACACCAGGGTCTGTGCTGACCAGGCAGCCATGGACCCCAGGGAGAGTCCACTCTGCCCTCTCCCCACTCCTGCCTGGCCTCAGCTCTCCTCACTGTGGGGCTGCAGGACCAGGAACCAGGCCACATTGGGCTGGCTCAGCTCCAGCTTGTAATGATTTCGCAGCCCCTGGAGCAGCTGGATTTCCTGGGGCTGGAGGGAGGACGGCTGGCAGACAAGGACTAGGCTGGGGAGGATGCAGGGCCTTGTGGAGGGTGAAGGATGGGGAGGGGCCAAGTCCTGGGGCCACTGCTCATGTCTAAAAAGGGCTGAAATC